GGTTGCACAGGACATCTGGTCTGGAGCTGACTCCTCCAGGGAACCCAGGTTTTCACCAGAGCAGTGCAGGAATGACTTCAGAAGGTGCCCAGAGTTAAAGCCTGTCGCATCCCAGCGTGCCTTGGCCCCTAAAGCCACCCACTGAGGAGCAGCATGAAAGCTGCAAAGGGCCAGGCGGTTCCCAGCCAGAAACACGTACTGGACAAAAACATGGTTTCTATTTTTTTAAGACTGCAGCAGGCTTTGGAAGATAGGGAATAGCATTGCTACCGTGAAAATGCCTGGAGTCAGTTTTTCACTCCAGCTCCGAGACAACAGCTTTGCCACATCTCTTTAATTTTTCTCTTTGGCAGTGATTTCAAAGGCTCATTGTTTTTCTCTGAGACAGCCTCTCTGTCCCCTTGTCTATCTTTGAAGGAGTGAGGCGGGCATAGGCACCGAGATAAAAACACCTACATGGGAAACAAGCAGGTTTGAGGCTTCTTTGCTGCCAGATATATTGCGCACACCCAGAGAGGCTCTCAAATGTCCATACATGATCCCATGTCTGCAAGCTGCAAAAGAGTCTTCCGTGTTTCCGCATCTACGTGTGCATGTATATATTTTTTTTTTTTCTTTTTGTAATGTATGTTTATATGTCTGGGACCTCTTAGGCGTGGGCAGCTTCCAGGGAGTCACCACCAGGATACGCTCGTCAGCTGCCACAGGACCGCAGTGAGCTTCGTTTCTCCGCGTCTCATCAAGGGAGAAGCAAGTTTTATTCCAGCCCTTGATACAAACCCTAAGTGGACTACTGACATTCGCCCCCCCATTCATCCATCCTGACAGAAACATCGCCTGGAAAGGCAAGCGAGGGCCAGCTGACGTTCGGCTATGAGGCTATGAAGAAATATAATAGAAGTACAGTGTTAGGCTGTTCCTCAGCAAAGAAGATACAGCTATTTTAAGTATCAACTAAAGCTGCTTATTCCCAGGCTCCCTGTAAAATATGAGATGTCATAGATGAAATGCTTAAAATGGATGTTTAAGGAAGACAGCAAAATAAACATTTACATAATCTTTGAATATTAATATTTGTAAATAATACCTGAACATCTGCTGGCTGGAACAAGGTCACTGACATGGAGATAACTCCCAAAGAGTCGAAACAACTGCAGTCCCCTTTAGCTTATGGAGGCACTTTCAACCTCAGCAAAGCCAAAAATGTTTGTCATTACCCCCGTACCCAACCGCCTGTCTCTAATGGGCTGAGAGCCGGCAAGACAACCATGCTTACTGGGCTGTTAATAACACAACTTACACAACATTCGCTCGCTCACTTGCTCTTTACAAAGATAATTTTTCTTGAAAAACCCTTCATCTTTCCCTCATGTTTTTCTTCCGTTTTGCCTTGCGTAACACCAGCCTGCTCTGTCCAGTGCTCACAGCTGCGTTGGGCTGGCAGCTTGCTGAGCGTCCTCTGCAAACCAGCAAGTCGCCGTGGCCACAACAAAGCAGCTACGGACCTCATCCCTTAAAGTTTCCTTAAAGTGAAGTTGCAGACGGCTCCACCAATAATGGTGAAGGTTAACAGCTGCCCATTATTCCACCAAACTTGGGAACCATTGCACTTACAGCACTGGGTTTCTTTACGGTCTAATGTCACTTACAATCACCTTATGATAGTATTCATGTTTTCCAGAGATTAGTTGCCTTTCCCACCTGCACCATAACATCACAGGTCCAATACAATGCCATGGGGCTGGACTCTCCCATTACACCGTGGCCCTTGAGCTGCTCTCGGAGAGCAGAGAGGGTCTTAGGGCAGTGACCGGTTGCAGTCACCCGTGTCCCACAGGCTCCTCTACTCCTCTTCCGTTGCACAAAAGCCTTTTTATCCCACGCAGGTCAGACCACATCAGTTTGACTGGAATCTCCGCAGCAAGAAACTGGAAGGACTCACAGAGCATAGCAAATCACTGTGACTGCCTGACAAATAACATTACAGAAGCAAATATAAAGATTGCCTCTCACCAGGCTTTTCTTTCCTGTATCTTTCTTTTTTTTTTTTTCCATCAAGCTTATCATTTGTCACTGAAAATACACTGCCTAACTCTGCTGCTGGGCAAGAACCTGTAGCAACCAGCCCATCGCCATGCATGCGAGTCAAGCTGGAACCCCCACAAAGCTGTTGCTGTGTTCTGTTCCTTATCACGCGCGACTTCAGCACAACTTTGCTAACACCCCGTCTTTGTCCCAAGTAGCTCTGCAAGATAAGGAGGATTTTGAGCAAAGATTAGAGGAACACCATGGTTTTCCTTCACAAAAAGTCACCTTCTTGCCAAAGGCCGTTAGGATATTTCTCAATGTTATAAATGTTATTCCAAGTTTTTAGGCTCTAGCAGTATCCTAATGCCTGTGTTGGGAGGTAGCATGGGAAAACAAGACGAAGGAGATCAAAATGCAGTTACATTAGCACCGGGAGAGTAATGGTGTAACGATGTGCATCTCCTCCGTGTGAGCTGTGCACAAAGGTGTTCCTCACGGCCTCTGTGACACTGATAAAAACAGTAAAAATTTGCCCTGCTTAAGGAAATACAGTGCAGTGGTGACACTGGAAATCAAAACCTGAACCCTTAGCACAACAGAACAAAACCCCTCAGCTTCCCCAAAATGCACAGGCACCATGTCCCTGACATACATGCAGCTAGGGGAAAACCAGATAGTCACAGTGGCTCCTCAGCTATCTGCAGCTGATTCAAGGGAAGGAGTCCAGATCTCCTCCCAGAGAAGCCCTGACATCCCACCCCATCAACCCCAGGAGCCAGCAGGTCTTTTGGCCAGTGGTAACGCTGAGGAGAGAGTGGTGCTTCCAGCCTGTCCACATCAGGCATTCAGAAGTCATCAACCAAACTCCAAAAACTGAAGTTGGCTTTAAAAAAATAATCTGAAAACCCAACATGGCACCCTAATCTTTAATGATTTTGGTTTCTAAGGTTTTTGAGATATATGCTTTGGGGCTTTTCTCTGCTACCTAGAAGACTAGTAAGATTCCCTCTCTGACAGTGATATTTGTCACTAAAGGGAAACCTTAATCCTCTCCCTTTAGAGCCAGCAGAATTTGTCACTGACTTCGCTGGCTGGGAAAACTATTTACTCTTAAACCAACTCTATTCAACCTGGAGTCACCGAGACAAGTAAGGGTCCCATAGCTGCTGAGCTGGCTGGTTTTCTCTGCTATTCCCTCGCATTTTAAAAACATGAAGTATGGCTTGGATGGCCACCCTCAGTGAGCCTGGTTTAGTGGTGACAGCTGTCTCATGAGCTGACAACAGGCAAGCACTTGGGATTCTCCTCCTTCCCACTTCTATTATTTATAAGCCATGCATGGTCCTGTCCACTCAGTCAGGGGTGGGCAAGATGATCTTTCAAAAGGTCCCTTCCAAAACAAACCAATCCCTGGTCTCTTCATGTTTCAGAGGCTGTGTTCCTTCCCAAATCCACCCTGATGAAAGGCTCACCTTCCAAAAGAAGCGATCAGGCAGGAAGAGAAATACCAGCAATAAGCCTTTTCCCTGAGCAGAGAGTGGGGCAGCAGTATCACTGTCAAGGAGTACCCACCTGCAGCAGGGAGGGGCCCCAAGGGCAGTGAATTCAGTGGCACTTTCGCAGCCGATTCAAAAAGGAGCAAGGCATATGCCCACTAGCTCCAGATCCAGCTCCCAAAGCTCAGCCCTGAGCCTCGGCTGCATGTCTGGGCTTGTCAGATGTGCTGGTACCAACCCCACGGAGTTGGCCTGCATTCCACCCAGAGGAATATTTAAGGGAAACCCTTCAGTTCTAGAAAGAGCAGATCAAGTTTACCACTGCTTATCAAGAAAGGTACCTCCAATGGACAGGCTGGACTGCAACCTGTTAGTGCATTACAGTGGGTGGAAAAAAAAACACTGGTGATGACACCTTTTGGACCCTGGAGTTTGGAGAAATACAAACTGTGAGCCTGAGTACAGCCCTGTGCTGTCAGATCAGCACATCTGCACTGTGGGGTGAGAAACATCTTTCCAGCGTGGCCAGGAACGGGCAAGTCAGAGTAGCTCTGTTCTACGTTCTATGTGCAAAACACAAAATACCTGTGACCCCTGGGGCAGGGAGATGTTGCACTTCACCCTGGAAGACCGACTGACATAGGATGCAGTATTAGTCATTCAGTGAAAGCTGCAGAAAATGCTGTCCTTAGCTCTAGAGGGGCTTGGTCACGCATCTAATCAGAAGAGGGATTTTTTTATTCAGGTACTCTCTTACCTCTGCAGCAGTGAGCCTAGAAATGTCAGGCAGGCATATTCATGTAACTGGGTACGACAGAAGGCAGAAATGCAGGTGATGGAGGCCTCCTCTCCTGCTCTTTTGGTTGTTTTAGAGAGTTTGAAACAAGATTTTAACTGGAAAAAAATACTCCGTTTTCTCCTAGCAAGGATGGGCTGTGATCCACCTAACGAGTTCTTTACTTTGCAATTCAATCACATCAGCTGAAAAGCTCGTTGCAACTTCCCAACCACAAGCGAACATTAAAACCTGCAGCTCGTTCATCTTCTCAACAGGGTTAAAGATTTACTGGGAGGGTCTGTCCTGAGCTCTGGGGAATGCTAGCCAAAAAGAGAGCCAACAACAGGAAGAAGTGTAGGAGCTGAGCAGAGGTCTATGAGGTGAGGGTGCAACCTCTCTCAATTGCCCTGAATATCTCCTGAGATCACTCACCACAGAATCACAGAATGGTTGGGGTTAGAAGGGACCTTAAAGCCCATCTAGTTCCAACCCCCCTGCCATGGGCAGGGACACCTTCCACTAGACCAGGTTGCTCAAAGCCTCATCCAGCCTGGCCTTGAATACGTCTGGAGGTCAGTTCCCTTCACACTGGTGCATCTGCCCAGAGGTTTTTATTTTTTAAATTAGATGATTGATTCGATAATTAAATGATTTTAAATTAGATGAGCATGGTATCAGGAGAATTGTTTTATTCTCACCTCCAAAAGCCGGCCGCATGGTGAAGTCATGGTCATCAACCCTGAGAAGCTGCTCCGTCTTTCCTTTCCAAGTCTTGGTTATGTCATGGTTCCTCTTGTAGATGTGACTGCAAAAGACAGCAACAGCATTGGTGTGATGTCCCTGCAGCACAAGCGGCACTCTGCAGCTGGCTTCTGCCAGCCCGAGGTCAGAGCCCCAGGAGGTGGCTCAGCCCATTGAAGGGTCGCTACCAGCACCACGGCGTTTGGGCTTTTTTATGGAGGAGTTTTATCTAAAGAAGTCAGCAAGATTGGCAATCCTTCACTTATCTGAATATTAAGGGAGGAAGCTTTTCATTTGAGACATTATATGATAACAGTAGAACAAGGATAACAACAAGCCCCTGACAGAAGTGCAAGGAAGTCACTAAAATCACGCAAGTGGATAACTAAACAGCAGATAGGCAGATACCACATGCACTTCTGGAGGAAAATCCAGATCGGCATCCCTGGCCATTCCCCAGTGATGCAGGAAGGAGGGCTTGGACCATTAAGGTTCCTTAATCCCTTTGCTCTGGGCATAAGATTTGACCTACTTATAAATATTGCTGCAAACAGCTATTTATCAGTATCTTAATAAAAATTATAATAATAAATAGAAATAACTTTATGCAAAAGGGTTCAGATTCATTTGCCTGTACGGGAGAAATATTACTGACCATAAAGAACAAAATATCTCAGGAAGAAAAATAAAGAGACTACTCTAATAGATACAAAAATGAGGATGAATTACTCTTAAAATCTTGGTCAGAAATTCTGATCTTACAAAACAATCACCACATTCCTAAGTTTGGAAAGGGATGTGCTTCAGGATCATGAAAATCATGATGAGTACAAGCAAAGGGAGCATTAACCGCAAATCAGAAGGAAAGTTTCCCACCAGAGCATTCAATTCCTAAAAGAA